TTTCGTCGCTTGGCAACGACGTTGTAAAACAAGCCAATTCACTTCGCGAGCTCGGCAACCTGGTTACCGTTTTTTTTTTTCCTCTGTTATTTTTTTGGCGGTAACCATGATGGTGGTCGAGTAGATCATGTTGTGCGGGGTCGAGAACCCTCACTGTGCGCAAGGGTGATGATCTCACCACGTTGTATTTATATGGTCAAGCACCCTCGAGGCAGTTACACAGTGCTTACAGCTGTCTCTGGAAAAGAAAGCACCAGAAAAAAAATTAAGTCATACGCAGCTGTCATCCCTACGCAAGNGTGCGCAAGGGTGATGATCTCACCACGTTGTATTTATATGGTCAAGCACCCTCGAGGCAGTTACACAGTGCTTACAGCTGTCTCTGGAAAAGAAAGCACCAGAAAAAAAATTAAGTCATACGCAGCTGTCATCCCTACGCAAGGAAGTAAGCACAAGATGCCGAAACCCCTTAGCAGGATGCAGCGCACCCTTCATGCGACTCGCCGAATATCTCACGGCGCTTCGCGCTTGGTGATGTGAGAGCCTGGTCCGGTGAGAACCCGGCGTGCTCCGTCCCGGCTTTGTAGGAATGCGAGGTCAATGGTCTAACGACTACGGGAAGCACGACTATCAGTACACCTCCTGCGGAGTAATCAACCTGCGTAGCACAGACAACTCTCCCCTCAAAATCAAGGGATACACTCGGATTAATCTCACTCTAGGAGATATCACCCTACCGGTGGAAACCTTAGTACTACCATCGTTGGGCCCCGATAACATGGTGTTAGACAACAGCATCACGGGAGAATTTGGCGGAGTGTTTGATTGGCAAGCAGAATCATTGTCTTTCAAGCAATCAAACTGGACTATTCCAGCAACACACCGCAGAACTCGAAACCCAACAACCAAGACATCGGGCGAAGACAACTGCTCGATAGTAGTGCAAGACGGCGAAGCAGAACCAGTTCCGGTTTATATCAACAAGAAATGTTGCATAACGGCACGCAGCGCAATAGCTGTAGAAATCCACTCAACGGTGGCACCCCCTACAGCAACCGTAACTGCCTTGGTAGAACCGCGCATCATCACCTCGGAGGACATCGCCTCACCGAACATGCCACAGGCTTTCCATCGGATAGTCGTTGCTCGTACGGTGTATCATTGGTCCAACACGAAGGGAACAGTGGTTCAAATCGCCAATCCATCTAACCGACAAGCACGTTTGCTAGCGGAAATGTTGGTATGATACATCTCTCCTGTCAAATCGGT